ACTCCAAGATAGAAACCAAGCATAACCAGAAGAAAGAGCCCTGCTGTAAAATATTAACATTGTTCTATTTTAAAGCGTCACCCTCCTACATTAGTGAGCCCATGGCTAAATATGAGAAACTGCTTGCAAGGAGCAAGGTTGGAAGTGTCCCATTTGGGGCAAACCACAGCCTTTGCACCACTTTACAAAACACTAACGGCTTTGCTTCTTAAACTTATTTCTTTGGTGCATATCCCATACCAAAGAAGGGCCTTGCATCACCTGCCAGCTGGCTCACTGAGAGAGAGAGACCTGTACGAGCTCTGCGAGGAGCAGTCGACTACCAGACAGAAGAGTCACCCTCCCTGTCAGGGAATCACTGAATCCCACCGAAACGCAGTTGCTTCTGGGAGGGAAAAAGGACAAGCATTGATTACCACCAAGGAAGAAGATATATAGGCAGGGAAAAAATTTAAAACTCCTTCCTTAGTGTGAATTAACTACACCATCATCAGAGCTGGAATTTAACCACAACATCAAAGTTAATACCTCTGGCAGGTGGAAAAGGTCGGAATAGGCACAGCAAATCTTCTTGCTCAGCCAAAGCCTTATTTCAATTCATCTTCATAGACAGCACTGATGTTTTTTAGCCTTGGTGGTGTCAGAGAACTCCTGCCTCACACTACACCGGAGAGGCAGATCAGATCTTTCTGCACCTTGAGCACAATGATGGCACGAGGACCTGGCCCATCTGCATTGCCTTTTGATGTCCCAAAGGACTTCTTGAAGAATATTATCTGAAAACTTACATCAGCAGCACGATTTCTTCTGCCACTTCTTTTGCTTTTCACATGCAGATTTATATGCCAAAGCAAAATAAATCCTGCTACTTAAACTGAAAGCCTGTGCAAAACAAGAGCTGACTGTAACAACTTGATAAATGCTCCAGTTCAAGGCTGCTCCAATTCCTACCCTGGACCCGAGCACAAGACTGGCAGTGGGACCAGCGAGGCCCTGGGACACCCACAGCTCCCTGGGTGGCACTGCCTGCCCCAAGGCTGCACTATCGTCCCTCCGAACCTGGGAGGCGTTGGCACAGTCAGATGTGACTGTCATGTGCTGCTTTGCCTACAAGATCATTGCACTTTACAGGAACCAGCTATTTCTCTTCTGCTGACTCATCTGCAGGCAATACTACTAAACTTTGCACTCTGCCAGCTGTCTGCAGAGAATTGCCTTGACACATGGACAGCATGTAAGCGGGAGCCTCAGGGGAAAAAGAAGAAGTCCTGTCACTTCAGATAATACCCTTGCCAGGCTATAAAGTACCAAAGAGTCCCTGTATTCCTCCACATTCCTCAGTCACGGGCCAAAGAGAATCCTTTTTCCCCTGTTCTTACCTACTTCCAATGCCCAGTTTACAAGTAACCTTGCTGGCATGTACTCCTGGAGAGATCTGCTGTAGACAGAAAGACTTGGAAGAGGCTAATGGCAAAAGACTCATCATGGATCTCTTTTCAATCAGTGTTTAAAAATCTTGCCCAATCTCCAAGGCAACTTCATGCCCTGCCCAGGCTTGCCATGCCCACCTCTGTCCCAATCTCCAGACTCAGAGCATCTGCCTGGAAACGGAGTGCTGCTGGCTGTGACCCAGCCTGTTCACCTCCAGAGATACTGTGATGCTCCTCACAGTCAGCATCTGCTCTATCTACGTGGTCTAAGTCCTTGAGACCCTTGCAAAGGTTACTGCAGGATCTGGCAGAGTCCTGTCTACACGTAAAAGAGTCCGCTTCAGCTTCTCTGGATAAACAACAGCAGCTATCCTGCATCATATTCACAGACATGGGAATGTATAAAAGGGATTCCAGTTCAGCCGGTGCCACACATTAGTCCAACAGCATCCAGACCTTTAATACACCAGCTAAAACAACCTCCCAGGCCTTGCCTCCCCTACTGATCTAGGCAGGCTGATAGCATTTTCTTGAGCAGAGCCTGAGAACGAACAAGCTCTGGTACCTGTATCCTGCAATAATTAAAAAGATGCTGCTTCTCACCAACTAAGTCCCCAATGGCTTAAGACAATTCTCCATAACACCACCACAACTGAAAAGAGTGCAGCGTGCTCACCTTGGCAGTGCTGTGAACTAATACACACGTAAAAAAGAAAAACTGCCTGCATGACCTTCTCTGTGAATTCACGGCTCTTCTGGGTATACCATAACCCTAAGGCACTGAGTGTCCCACCATGCAACAGTCTCTGCTGCGGGTAGTGAAGCAGATGATGTAGGGTTTATGCAGAGGTCTGGAGCCTGCCCTGGGACAATAAATTCTGAGAATGGGTGGTCATTCTGTCCCAGCTTCTCCATTGTGTTTTGTTTTTAGGACTTAACCACAGAGCTTTTTGAGACTTCAGGTGTAAACTTCCTTTCACAGTTTTACACATCAATACCAATTCCTTGCTGCAACAGTTACTGTTTGCAGATCTTTCCACAGTGATTTCAAGACAGTTTCATCCGAGTCAGATCTTGGAGCAAGAAACTTCCAAGTCATGAATTTTAATAGTTAGGCATATACAGTGAATTCCTTCAGGAAATAAAGCATGGGTACTTGTCATCTGAATTTCAGAAGCAAATACCACGGCTGTCCTCAGGCCCAGGAGTCCTGCAGACGGAAACTCAGTGGTACCTGTTCCTGACCACCCCAGCCCTTGCCAGCTGCTCACCACGGTCCTGGTTGCTGCAGCAGCACAGGGTGGGGACACAGGGAAGGCCACCTGCAGCATCCTGCACCTCCCTCCACAGCCAGCGAGGGCTACCTAGGAGCATCGCAGCTCTCAGAATTCCTGAGGGCTTTAAAGTCTAAGTACAAACCCATTAACGAGCGCAGCCAGGGCTTTGGTGGACACCAAAAGCGGGTTAGAAAGGACGTGTGCCTGCGAAGCAGCTGGGTCACACCTTCCTTCGCCGCAGCCAGGGCCACCTCCTCATTGTCCTCTCTAGGCCGTGACTGTGTCCTCTAGGTCGGGGCACGTTCCCCAAAGTCCTCCTGCTCCAAACCCTGCGGGTGTACTCCAAAAGTTTCCCACAGCGTCTGCTGCTGCCTCCTCTCAGCCATCCCCGAGGAGCAGCCCCGAGGATCACGCCCGAGCCCAAGCCCCCACGAAGCTTGGCACCGCGACCACCCCAGCAGACACTGCCCTCTTGCCCAAAGCCAGTGCCCCATGTCCCGGCCGACCAGCACCTCCCGCCTGTGCCACGGCCAGCCCGCGGGGAGAGCGGTCCGGGGAGGGACCCCTGAGCGGCTCCGCAGCGGTGCCCTCGTGTGCCGCCAACCCAAACCCGCGCCCCAATGACAGGCACGGCTCTGTCCCTGCCCCTGTCCCTGTCCCCACAGCCCCCCACAGCCCCCTCAGTGCCAGCCCCCGCTCCCGCCGGACTCCCCCTTACCCGCGCTCCGCCGCCGCTCCGCCGCCCAGCCCAGCCCAGCCCAGCCCGGCCGGTCCGGCCCCGCCCCGCTCCCGCCGACGCCAACGGGGCGCGGGCGGAGCGTCGGCCCCGGAACGACGGGAAGCGGCCGGCCCGGCCCCGGAAAGCCGCGTCCCGGGAAACCGCGCCTTGGAACCTCCGTTCCGGCTCGCGACGGCCCTCCGAGTCACAGAATATCCTGAGTTGGAAGGGGGCCACAAGGATCAGCCAAGTCCGTCTCCTGGCCGTGCACAGGGCAGCTCCAAGAATCACGTCATGTGCCTGAGAGCTCGCTCTTTCTCCAGGGAAAATACAGCATCCCTGTCCCATGCCACAGCCAGTGGTGGTGAGGCTGAACGATCACGGATGCAAACCTTCTTACCTGCTTTGTACAGCACCTTTGTGAAGCAGCCATTAAAACCCTCCAAAACAGAGCAAGCGCAAGGTGAAAAATCGTGATTTAATAGCCATGACTTGATAAAAGCATCCAAATGAGCCTGAGGTCATATATACCATCTCCTGGAAAATGTTGCTGTGGGGAGGGTTTCGCTGGTCCCCAGAACTCACACTCCTGGGTTGCACACAAACTAAGCAGTGCTGTCAATTCTCTGGGCAGGTGCCTCTGGGTGACAGCCACAGGCAGCAGCAAAGCAATCAGGGAAGTCACCCTCCATCTCCCATCAGAGGAAAAGGAGAGGAAACCAATTTCAAACAAACATAATAGAGACCCAGCAGTGTGCTGTCTCTGGCACTGTAGACCAAAGAGGGATTTTAGAAGATGCATCGTAATTTTTTACTTCCCTGACTTCCAAGAGCTGCACAGGGAGAGCGTGTTTTGCTCTACCAGTTGGTGAGGGTGGGATTCAGGGCTCACCTCACCCCCCTTCAGCACGCTAAAAGCCATTTCACGTCACTGGAATGGCTCAGCTATGCTTGCTTGGTCAGCACACAGAGAACAGGCATCACCACAGAACAACTCATCCCACCTTCCGATGGGCATCCAAGATGCTCTTTGGTGGCACTCACTCTCTCAGGAACCAACCTGGTCCTCTAACTCTGGGGGAGATGAGAAGCTTTAGCACTCTTCTGCAGATTTACAGCAGCCTTTCTGATGCTGGAGTCCTAACAAATTTGATTGTAAACATCCACCCTTATATCCTAGAACAGAGAGGCAGAGACTGAGAAAGCACTGCAGTATCTGCTGAAGAGGGCAAGGCGCAACAATCATTCACAACATCCCTGGGTGCACCAAACCAAAGAGCAGTCACAGCAGGGAGAAGTTTTGGCAGTCTTGGGGTGTGTGGGCTGCTGGCCTGACCTAATGTCCTAAATACCTTGTCTTCCTATCAATTAATACCACCTCATGTGACACAGCTGGGACTCGTAGCCCAATTGTTATAGGAGTCACAGAAACAAATCTGGATAACCAGAATAAGAGGTCAGCTTTATGGGTTAGTTTACAAAGAATCATCAGAAAATGCTCATCTGAGTAGTGCAGACAAGCCATCCAGACGAGTGCACTTTGTAGAGTGGAAGAAAATATCACAGGAGAAGAAATATTAAATACATAGATTTATTATGTTTCTTTTCTTATAAATATTTAATTAATTTCATAAAAATGGAAGTAACAGAACCCTTTCAAGACACAAGTTTAGTTTGTCTTAGAAACAATACACTTTTAGGACAAAACCAACATACTACATAAAAAACAAAGGGCCATTTAAATAAAGGACATAATAATATTGTGCTTAAAGCTCTATTGATATCCACAAGGAAGAAGGAATGTTGTAGTGTGTAGACCAGGTGTAGGACGTGCTTTGTATAGCTGTTATTTTCTTAGGTACTACAGGAAGAACATGATGCTTTAGTGCACTTTAACAAAAAATACCCCAAAGCAAAGCTTCCTCCTCCAACTCTGTCCCTCTGTGCAATGTTTGCCACTTTCAATAGTAGAAGCAGCCAAAGGCAGCTACCACACAAAACAAGCTGTCCTGGGGAAAACAGAGAAAGGGTCCATGTTAGTCAAGGCTCTTTGCTAGCCTAGTGGAATGGGAAAACCTCAGGGAACGTTTAGGCCAGAGCATAACCTTGCTTTGTAATATATAGCAACTTTCTGTCTTTTGTTCACCTCACTTTTGGTGTAACCCAGGTCAGTGCATCTGAATGCCAGAAGTGCCTCACCTTCCTCCATCCACACTCCCACAGGTGTCTAGGTGCCAGTTAAAAATAAAAAAATAATGAAGTAAAACCTCGACTTCTACTCAGTCCTGGATTTCAGCCATGCTCCATGACTGCAGTTCAGAAAAGCACAGAGAAGACTTTGTGTCTTGTGCTTCCTCTTCCCACCTGTAAAATGGCATGACTATAATGACTTCTGTACCGTACTGTGTGACCTACTCAGGAGAGAAGTTTCACTATGTCAGATATTATATCTAAGTATGTTATGTGAATGAGGACATAAATCATACTGCTTCAGTAGTCTTGGTTCATTCCTTCTACTGGTTGCGTTTTTTTCTGCTCCATATTTAAGGTCTCTCTGGCTCTCATACAAAAGCAAGTAGCCCTACACTTCCCATGGGAATCCAGCTGGTACTTACATTCATGAACACGTCGTGAGCACAGCTGTCAGTGTCGGCATCCCAGAAACATCGCGCGGCCATGCTAAACAAAGGAGCCAGAGCAGAGACGTTCCTGTGTGAGGACCTAAGTGATCACAGATACTTTCCTCGAAAACCAAACTGAGCTTTCTTTAAAGATAAAGGAATTGGGAAGCGTTCTCCTGAATCCCAAGCCTAAATCTCCACTGCTGAATACCACATGCTTTGATCCCCTCTGTATGTGGCTCAAGCTCCATCTTCAAGCTCATCACATATCAACCCTGCTACCTCCACTGTGCAGCAGGGCTTGAACCTCATTGGTATGGTGTGTAAGAATCTTTGACTTCTGGCCTATGTGTATTGGTGACTGATTTAGCTTATTTGTCCTTGTCCTTCACCTTCTGCACCCTCATGGTACATACTCCCAACTTATTTATAGGAAGCGATCGTATTCCTTGGCAGATGCCGTGTTACTAGACCACGAGCTAAGCTCTTCTAGTCTTTTTGTATCTATACTTTCTGTTCCCTGAACATCCTGCTGGACTTCTACACCTGCTTCAGTCCAAGCCTTACCCTGAGGACAAGTAACCGGACCATAACAGGGTATTACAGATGAGACCTCGCTGCTGTCTTGTCTGATGTCACTGACATTCCCCCTTCTTTGCTGCAAATGTCCCAGTCCCTGCCTGCCCCAGTCAGTCTCAGCTGATGGGATTCCTCTTTGTGGCACACCATGTTGTTCCCAGTCCCTACATGTATGACTTACTGTTCTAAGATTGCTGAATTTAATCTCTTCTATTACCTTAGCCCTCAAGATTATCCTGATTTTTTGTTTTTTGCTGTACAGTATTCCACTCTGCCTCTGGAACACCCTGGTTACCCAGTATTTTGCATTAAGGATGTTGGTGACCATTCATCAATATTGCCTCCTGTCTGTTGCAAACCAGAGAATTTCCCCACAGGCTGCTCTGTCAGCCTGTGTTGTTGGGCTTCACATTTCCACCTCACTGAACTGTTCACCCTGGTACGGTGCTTCTGGAGCAGTCTGCCTGCAGCTGGACATTCCTGACAAAAGCCTGAGCAGCAGGTACAAATATTTCTCTCTGACCCCCAAAACACTAAGGCAGCTCTGCTGCACTTATCTTCTGCTGGAGTACCAGGAACAATAATAAAGATAAGCCCAGCAGATAAAGCACATAAACCTTGTGGGCTGTTCTCTTTTGTCTTCTCCCTACCCAGTAGTAATAATGGAAAGCTACAGCCCACTACTGCAGCCAAGAGGAATTCTTTTGTCTGACTGCAGGCATCTGGAGCTGACTGCAAGTGCTCAGCACCCACATGGGAATTTGGCTCGGTTCCCAGGACAGTAGTGCAGGGGGATTATTGATATTTAAACTTCTGAAAAATGCCTACCTGGGATGATTAAATGTAAATGAAGTGCTTATGGAAATCTGGCTTTAGACAGAAGTGAGTTACCATGGCTCTTTTGCTCCAGCAGGGCCTCGGGAACGGATAGAGTCTGTGCCCTAGTTCATCATGAATACAAAATAAAATGCTTCTGCAACACTCCTCACCAATGCTTCTCAGCATTTCGGGTTGCTAAGAACCACCACAGAGCCCATTATCACTGGCTAATTCAATCAGCCACAACCTAAGCCCTCAAGTGCCACTTAAAGAGAAAAGAAAGTGCTTTACACTTTATCATCTGCAGAGAGATCTTTGTACCTAGCAAAGCTGGAAGCAGCTTCCAAAGGAAAAAACGACACCCAAACCCAACAAACATGATAGAAAGACAATTAGAAAACTTACTTCACTCCTTCTCCTCTCTGTTCTCCAATCACAACCTGCACCACCATTTTGTACCTGTCATATCCCTCCTCTGGAGAGAGAGAAAAAAATAATAGTGAGAGCAACAATTTGTTTAAAATATGAGCCCAAAACAGGACCCTAAATGCTAAAGGTTTCTGGCTACAAAGCAAGTGTCCTCTAAAAGCCCATGCAAGTAGCCAAGTGGACAGACTGCCTTGTGGATTCATTTTCCTAGCATGGAGTACCATGGTTTTACTGGAGCTAAAGGGTGAACAGAATAGTTGGCCTCTATCAAAAGATGCATCTAAGGCAGAAGACACCCCTGAGCAGCCACACTATATTCTGCTTTGACATCTTTCAAGAGCTGACCACATGGAAAGAATGTAAATAAGGCTGCTGTGGAAAAAAATGCAAATTGAAAAAAATTGCCTTATTTTAAAACTGTTCTGATGCAAAGGTATTGTAGAGATTATTCTGCCATACAGGTGTTTCCTTTGCTTCTGAGTGGGATAAAAGGCCCCATAAAAGCATATGTGGGTCTGTGTTATGTGTCTGCAGAGATATGCAATAGTTTTACAATAGTAAAGAAACACCTCCGAGGCACAGACCAGATCCAATCAGGCCATGGCAATGTTCCAGAAGCCAAATCAGAACAAGCATGTTTAAAATCAAATACGGATCCTAATGCCTATCTTCAACAAAGCAGTGTCCCAGGAAGACTCCGGCGCATTGTTTCCACTGGAGGATTGAACACAACAGGCTGGGTCTGTTATAACATCCACCACGTCAATGCTTATCAGAGATACCAGCTGATACAGTGGCCACACGGGGCCAGCCTTGCTTCAGGCTGCTGCAACTGTGTTTACACATTACTACAGCCAAGCCCTGTGCATATGAGCTCGGAATCAACACGTGCTGGGCCTACAGCTGCTGCTGGCTTTAAAGCAGATGTGCAAATCTGGGAGAAGCATCAATCCGTGGCACTGCCGAGGGTGACAGTCCGGCCATGCCACTGCGTCAGGCCAGACCAGCAGATGGAGCACCAGCCTGCCCCAGGAGGAAAGCAAAAAAAAAAAGTGGCTGTGCCAGCACACACATCCATGTACTTGTCCCAGCACAGAACTCAGGAAACACCTGCTGGAGCTTGCAGTTTCCTTCTTGAACTCAAAAATATTGGAGGATATTCTGTGCAGCATCACCACAACCTTCTTCCAGTGCTGTAAGGCTGTAGTCATACCCCTCCTTGTCTGACTGCTCCTCTCTCCCCCTTCCCTGTGCCCTCTGAGCCTTATTCTGATCTCCCTGCTATTCCACTCTGACACAACTCTGACCTAACTCGCAGCAGAAAAAAGGCAGGAATGGTTCTTTTTATGGAAGCAAGAAGCAATGAAGCATCACTTCTTTCTTCTCTCCAGTGCCGCTTCTTCACCTCTGCAGCCCCTCCTGACATCCCACACTAGCCAAGCTACACAAAAACAGATCCTGTCTGCTTAAATTAGATCTTCAGTTCCGCGGGCGAGGAATGTATATATAGGACAGATTGTTTCATAACAGTAGACTCGAGTCAGTCAACATGGAAGGAATAGGTTTCAAGAATAAAAGAGGAAAGAGAGATTTTGTCAAAAGGGAGACGACACGGTAAGAAGAGAAATTACTTCCCCAGCAGACCTCCTTACCTTTCAGTCTGTCTTTTATTGTCTCTGATAAGGACTTTGTAAGCTCAGGCATTTCCTCTGGGTTGTACTGTACATTGGCCAGCTTCTCCTTCAGTATCACATGGATGCATTCTTTTACTGAGGACGATTTGAATCTATCAGGGAAAAAAAAAGCAGCAACAGAAAGCCCCAAAAGTTCACACAACGTGTAGAAACATACACAGTCCCACCTGGGAAAATGTAGCTTTCGCATACTTAAGAAAAAATGACAAATCAAAAACCACGGGGGAAAAAAACTCTGCTAAGACGGAGATACTTAACCAGCCCTGCCAAAAGCCAAACACCCATGAAAAAGTGTGAAAACAGCCTTCTTGGAAGTTGCCCCTCCAGCAGCATCCTCCACCCGAGCGCATGTCAAAGTTGGTCAGGGAGCCCAGTGCCCCCCATCTCCCAAACCCTCGGGGCTCCCCCATTCCCAACACACCCCTACAGCCTCTCCTGCCCAGGGAGCCCCTCCCCGACAGTCCCACCGCAGCTCCCACATCCCCAGGGCCAACCCCCCCCAGCCCAAGGCCCCCACCATCCCCTCTCCGTACTAAACCCCCCCCCTTGGCTCACCGGTGCTGGAGGCCGGGCCGAAGGCTGTAGGTGTTGCCGGCCCCATCGTCCGGGCCCAGCTCGCCCATGGCCGCGGCCCCCGCAGCCTTCCCGGCGTTGGGTTACCGGGACAACCCCGCCGCTTCCGCCGCTCCCACCGCCCGCGTCAGCGCCGCGTCACCGCCGTGGGGGGAGCGCGGGGGGGGATGCGGAGTTACCGACCGGGGCGTATTTCCTACCCTTGTTACAAAAACAAAAAAAAAAGGCAACAAAAACAAAACAAAACCAAACAACAACCCCCCCCCAAAAAAAAAAAACAAAAAACAAAACAAACCCAAAACCCCCACAAACCAAAAACCCCAATAATTATTTTTACTAATTTTTGCGATTAAAAAACTTGCCCAATAACGTAATTGGTAAATAAATGGTAAATAACTGCTGTGATGATTGTAAACTATTTTAATAGTTGTATTAATGGTAAAATTTTGTTGTGGAAGACACTGAGGTCCCACACTGAGCAGCAGCTGAGGGCAGTGGGGGTGTTCTGCCTGGAGAAAAGGAGGCTCAGAGGTGACCTTATTGCTCTCTACAACTCCCTGAGAGGAGGTTGTAGACAGGTGGGGGTCAAGCTCTTCTCTCAGGCAACTAGTGACAGGATGAGAGGACATAGTCTTAAGCTGTGCAGGGGAGGTTTAGGTTGGACATTAGGAGGAATTTCTTCACAGAAAGGGTGATTAAAGTTTGGAATGGGCTGCCCAGAGAGGTGATGGAGTCACTATCTCTGGAAGTGTTTAAGGAAAGACTGGTCGTGGCACTTAGTGCTGTGATCTAGTTGTCATGGTGGTGTTTGGTCATAGGTTGGACTTGATGATCTCAGAGGTCTTTTCCAACCTAAATGAGTCTGTGATTCTGTAAATGAAGTGTTTGATGAGGCTGCTGCCTGGAGTGAGGTGGGAGGTCTGATAGAGAGAGAATGAGATAAGATGGCCTGGCCTCTCTGGGTGCTTCCCTGATGCCCCCATCCTGCCCCAAATCAGCAGCTGCAGCCCCTGTGTGCACCCTCACCCAGGACTCAGTGGGCTGGAGCAGCTGTGGGTACCAGCAGGGCAGAGGGGTCCCTGTGCCCAGAGACATGCCTGCCGGATCCTGGCCTCAGCTGGATGGGGGCTGTGATGGTGTCCCAGCCCCAGGAGCCTTGCTGGGAGGGCCTGGATGCTGAGGGACAGTGGGTGCAGGTGGAGGAGAACATAGCCTGGACTCCTTGCCTTTGCAAAGCCTGCTCCCCTGATTTTTGCCTGTGTTTTGCTGCCAGGCCTTGTACCCTCTTCCCACCTCTGGGCCATGCATCCCAACCATCAGGGAGAAGGTCCCAGCCTTGCTCCTTTCCTCCAGGAACTTCTTAAATCCTCCAGAAAGGCCTAAAATTCTTGCCCCCCGATATCCTTCCCCTATCATAGCCCTGTGCTCTTTTCCCTGCCTGCAGCTGCTGTCTGTCCCAAGGAAGGCCGCATGTGACGCAGCCCCTCCTGAGCTGACATTCTGCTTACCCCACAGTTTATCTCGATGCAGCGATCTCCACGATCCTTCCTGCGTACAGTGAGTGACGCGGCTGAGAAAGGTCCCTGTGCGCTTCACCCAGCTCCGAATGGAAACAGTGTGAAGGCACAGCCAGTGCCGGTGCAGAGCGTGCTGCTGCCAGGATTGAGGTGCTGGAGTGGGCCATCACTTGTGACAGGGCTGGGAATGACTGGAGGTGCCCCTTGAGTACAAGAGGTGCACTGAGAGGCAGAGGGTACAGCTGCTGCAGTTTTGCTTGGGATGCACGGGCATATCCCAACTGGTGCCAGGTCCTGCCCCAAACTGGTCTGAGCACAGATGGGTTGATGGGATCCCGAGCAGCAGCAACTCCTGATTTCTACAGACTTTAACAACACCACTTGCTAGAGATGGACCATCAGAGTCCTTAGTACCACCGGGCTCTGCCCGCAGTAGGGTCAGCACCTCACTGCCATGCTGAAGGTGATGGTGGCCCCATGCCATACCCTTGTGGCACCTTCCCATCACAGTTACCATTGCTCTGCCCAGGCCCTGCAGGTTTCCGCTTGCTAAAGGAACATTTTCGTGCCTCTGTTCCATCCCTCCGCTTACTCACTGCCTACCGCTGCTTACTCACACCCACGGGCTGCTGCCTGTCCCCACAGGGTCAGGTGCTGTTCCTCATGCAAATAATTTGCAGAGACCTTCCTAATTTCCAAGAAGTACCTGAAAGACCTCAACACTCTTCCGTGTTTATCTGCAAACACTATTAACTGTTTCCTCTTCTTGCCCAAGCCATTCACCTCCCGCCTGGGTCAGACCCACAGATGTGAATTCAGTTAAACTGTTGGGGGAAGGATCTTTGGAACCTGTGGGTTTCTCTTCCTGAGCATCTTTTTGGGGTAACTTGTGTTCCTCATTTCATTTGGGAAGCTTTACTTTCCCTGGACTTCAAAGTCATTTAGCTCTGGACTCCAGTAAGCTCATCTGTGGTGTTTGATCACGGCTCTTTTTCATCTTCCAAATTTTCAGTGCTCCTTAAATACCCCAGATACTTGTAAGCCATATTGGGTCTGACTCTCTACCCTTTGACTCTGCTGATAGCTGTGTGCCCTGACAGCGATGGCTGCAGGAGACTAGAACCTCCTCTGTGTCCCAGCTGCGTTGGTGGGACTCTCACAGACTCAGTGGGCCACCTTCTTGTTGGGGAAAAAAAAGGACATTTGTGCTCCTATGAAGTGGTGTGATGTGCTTGCTGAAGTTACTCTCTCTTAGTTTTAAAGAACAAACTGTTTTCTCACTTATTCCTCTTTCTCCTTCCTTTTTAGACCTTCTTTTCCTCTTTTGGTGGCCAAATAGCAAAGGACTGTCCCATGGAATTTACTATATTCAAGCTCACATAAAGTGACCCCTCAGCAAACCCCCAAGGTGTACCATCCACCCCATTGGGCTGGAGGGGATTTACCAGCATGACGGGGTGCAGCAGCATGGCTTGAGCCAGGCTGTTTTTCTTGGTGCTGGAGAACCTGGTGAAAGAGCCAGCAGGAGCTATGTTGGTCTGGCAGGGTGCAGGCAGGGTGCAAAGCCTTCCTGAAGCCTGGTGGCTGCTGTGGGACTGGGGCTGGGCTCCTCTATGATGCTGACACCTGAGGCACATGCTGGGCTGGGGCATGGCACCGCTGCTCACCTCGCTTTCCTCCGCAGCGGCTTCCTAACAGCGAGATTGATCTTTTCTTTTATTCTTTTCATCACTTCTAGTTTTTTTTTCTCAGAAAAAAGGGCACCTAGCCATTGTTGGTTTCTCGTGGACGTGGCAGCCTCCCCGCCTTGGGTACCGGCTTACACCCATTTCAAGCGTGCATTGGAAAGTCTGAGCAATTCATGCTATGATTTTAATCAGAGCCCTCTGATGCTGCTGCATGGGGCAGGGAGGATGAGCCAGTTTTTCCTGCTGATCCCTGCCTCGAAAAGTCGTGATCTTGGCAGTGATACCCATCACATCTTCTGCCTTTAGAAATCAAAACATGTGGCAAGTGCCAAACAAGCCTTCCCCAACGTGGCCCAGATGCCTCGTGTCAGCATTTGGGGTCACAAAACCTCAAGGCAGAAAAGCCTCCTTGCTATGAGCTTCCATATTTCCTGAAGTTCATTTTAGTTTATTTTAGTTAGGGTTTTCTGAGTGGGAATGCAGAAAATTGTGAAAGAAGAGGTGATGTCCAGCTCAAAACCCACCTACACCCTTGCACATGGTGGAGAGCACTCCCTTTGCCACCCATCCAGGCAGTGCGGTGGCCTCTGGCCAGGTGGCATGGAGAGGTGACAAGGTAGGCACAGTTCCCAGCCTTGCTCTGCAGCCCAAGCAGGGCCAGCAGCTCATGAGAAAGGAATGGTGCTGCAGTGCCGGGAGGAGACTGGAAAAGAAGACCCAGGACAGGCTGGACTTAGCCACCCACCCAGGGTGAGCCCTGTCTGCCCCAGTTCAGAACCCCCTCCTTGGCCATCCCAATTTGACCATCACAGTAGTGTTAGGTTAATGGTTTGACTTGATGATCTTAGAGATCTTTCCAATCTTAATGATTCTATGATTCTATGAAGTTGGGGGTGGTTCCCCCAGCCCACTTGCCTGCCAGGGCCATGTTTGAAAGTGAGAGGTGAGCAAGCCCCAGCCCTGCAGCTCATTTCTGAAAGCCTGGAAAATAATGAAATCGTCATTAGAATCACATCCTTCACCCCAATTATTAATTTTCCCCTGACATTTTCCAAAATTGTGAGGTACCGAGGCTGTGTTCGAGAGAAGTGGAGGAGCTGCTTTCACTGCTGGTTATTTCCTATGCGAGTATTAGTGTGGTGAGTGGGGAACATTGATGGTGGAAAAACTACAGAAGTCTTCTGCAAATTTCACCCCAATAACAGCATCCTGGCTCTGGGCACCTGCCTTTACTCTCTGCAAATCTATCATGAAAAAACACTCTGAAGGTGGCAAACCTTCTCCTTCTCCTTCTCCTTCTCCTTCTCCTTCTCCTTCTCCTTCTCCTTCTCCTTCTCCTTCTCCTTCTCCTTCTCCTTCTCCTTCTCCTTCTCCCTCTTCTCCCAGTGGGAGCAGCCTACCAGTAGGTGCCCCATGGCTACCCAGACCCTCCCTGTCTACCCAGTGCCACATGTCCCCCAATACTCCACTGCCTTGGGCACCTGTTGGGAACACCCATGGGTGCCTGGGAACCCAAGACAGCTTTTACTTATGTGCCAGGCTTGGAACTGAGGACCTGTCCCATGTGGCCCCTGCCTGCTCCATCCCTGAAAGATATCCCCAAAAAGGGTTCAGGCTCAGAGGTACCTGTCCCTGCTGCTCGGTAGCTGGTTGCCTGCGTGGGAAAGCAAGGAGGGGAAAGAGGCCATGTATGGCTCAGCTGATCCTTGCCTCCGAGGGGAGGAAGCTGGGGGTGGGAGGCAGCCCGGGTTTCCCTCTGGGGGAGAGCCGGGCACGTTTCATTTCCACCCAGCCCTTGCAGGGTACGACAGAGAACAAGTTCCTGCTGCGGGGGAGGCGGCACAGAGGGAGCCGGGGCCGGCAGAGCACATACAGCACAGCACATCGCCTCTGCCTGGGCAGGGGACCCACCGCCTCGCCGCGGCTCCAGGTGCCTCGACGACGACGTGGGGCAGAATGGAGGTGGCCCTGGCTGGCCTCTGTGCTATCCTGCTCTGCTGTGGGCCCACACTGGCCTGCTGCCGCCGGGGTAGGTACTGGAGTGTGGCGTGCTCGCTGGCATGGCGTGTGTCATTTGTAGCTCTTGGAAAATGTCTAAAGTCTAGTCTAACTAACTAAGAATCTGGCATCAAGAAGGCAGAGACCCCAAAGCTTTTGGGTACGTGTGGCTGAAACAAAGGACGTGGGGATGCTTGAGGCAGAAACGGGATTAACAGATGGGGAAGGGCACACAGCCCACAGTGCTGACACCAGAGCTGTGTTGTGGCACAGTGACTGTAGTTAGTGTTTGATGGGTTTGCCGGTGCCATGTGGGGTCTGGTGTTTTCTGCTCTGGCTCTCATGGCTTCAGTCTGTGCCCTTGGGCTGCAACTCCTGTTTTGGACTTGACACTGAGGGAGCCAGGGTCCTTGCTCTGGATGAAATTTGGGGAAGAAGGAGAGGTTGAGGGGAAGGGGTGAGTCTCGGCAGAGCAAGTGAAGCCCTGGTGAAGCTGTGTTCCCCCTTTCTCCCAGTCTGACTCTTCCTTTAGTGGATTCCTGTGTTTTCTGTCCTGATGGTGGGTGCAGGGCTGGGCGTTCCTTGGAGCAGATGTTACCTCTGGTGCTGGGAAGAGGCAGGGAAACATGTAAACCCAACATCTGCTTTCAGATGTCCTCTGAACACTTCATTCATTGTTGGCACCAGCAATGACAGAAAGCAAAGCCCTGAACCTGCCAAATATTTCCTATTAAACACAAAACACTGCAAAATTAAAAAACTGCAAATTCAAAACTCTTCAAAAATTCCATCTCTTAGTGTGGGCACTGCCACAGCTCATCCTGCTGATGGGAACTGAGGCACTTCTCTCCCTCCCTCCTCCTGTTTGATCTCCTCCCTCATTTCTCAGCCCAGTTTTCCATCTGATCTTGTATCTATTCACGGAATTGTCCAGGTCCATTTGCTGGTTGATGACACTGAGGTCATGGTCCTACAGCCTCAGGCCAGAGCTGGAGGGACAGGAGGGACTTTCTGGCTCTCCCTGTAAGCTCTGGAGCTGCTATTGGTGTTGATTTCTGAAAAGAGAAGGTAAATTTTTTAATAACAGGGACTTTTCAAAACCTTGGTGGTTTGAATCACTTGGTCAGGTAACCCATGTGAAAAATGCCCCTTCCCACTTTTTATTGCTCTCAACAGAAATTAGTGCAACAACTACTGTGTTCTTCTGTGTGCCTGGCCTGTGTTCACAGCATCCCCGCTGCCCAGAGGGGTTGAACCTGCTGGCATAATGGGAAGGGAAGTGTGGTGAAGCAGCAGGCCAAGAGGCCTGTGGCTGTAGCTGACTGCCCTCTGTGCTGGGAACAGCCTGGCAAGCCCATCTGGGATCCCCAGGGTGGGGAGCACACAGTTTGGGGACAGGCAGCTGGAAAGGGATGGCATTGTAAGCTCCAGGTTGCTCTGACCTGTTAGGTGGTCTCAGGATGGAGATAGCAAATACTGTACCATGGGCAGCCCCTGCCTGCTCTGAGGTCCAAGCATGGTGCAGTGGGGAGAGCCAGAGCATCCCAGCAGGCAACCAGGCATGAGATGGGCTGTACCGGAGGGCACTGCCCTGACCCAGGACTCAGTCCCTCTGCTCACTTTCAGAGTCAGCAACAGCTGGAGGGAAGATGACTCAGACATCAAAATATAGCATAGATTTAAAAATAATACAACCCTCAACGTTTGTTTTCCCCAGTACAGGTGTTCTGTGCCAATTTTAGTTAGCTCAAAGCACAACTTGCTCTGCTGAAACCACTTCATAGTACAGTTACTAACTCTGAGGGTCCCCCTCCAGCCAGCATGCACACACTCAGGAGGGAAGAGGCATGGACTGATGTACCTCGCTGTGACCCAGAGTAATGAAGTGGACTGGGCTTGCATCCCAGGCTCCTGCACAGGGGGTATGACTGTTTCTGAGATCTATGCCTGCTGTAACCGTGTCTGCTCCTTGTTTCCTCTCTCCCAAACAGTGACTATCTTCCCATCAGTGTTAACTTTCCATGAAGGTGGCATAGCCACCTTCTCCTGCAATAAATCCATGGAGAGTGACTCTGGCTCAGAGTACAGCCTCAACTGGTACAAGGACACCAACCACAGCCAAGCCCAAAAAATAGCTGAGATCAGCCCAAACAACCCCAGGATGGAGACAGAGAAGTACCGGCTCACCAACCACACTCCTGTCTTCAAGATTGAGATCCGGAACCTCCACCAAAATGACTCAGGCTCCTACTACTGTGGACTGATCACCTTCTTTGAACCCAATAAATTCCTTTTGATGGAGAGCAACCGGTCCCAGCTGATGGTCACAGGTCAGGCTTGGGGCTGATCTGATGGGTAACACATTGTAGCTCCAGGGCTTAAGGCAGACAGTACCCTGCTGGTGGAGGATCTGACATGGGTCAGGAGAGCACAGCCCTGCCCTTTCCCCCTCCTTTGCATTCAGGGTTGAGGTCCAAGAACACAGGCTAACCTCCTTGTGAACACTGCATCTGGATGTGGTCCTGATGCAGGAGGTCTCCATCCTGCTGGGGCTGTGTCCCCAGTAATGCTGTGGGGAGAAGCAGTTCTTACCCATTGATGGAGGCTGAGACCAGTGTAGGGAACTGCCTTCATCCTTGAACAGCTCCTCTGGGGACAGGAATTGTGTTTGGGGTGATGACCAGGGCTCAGACACCTTGAACAGCCAGTGTCGGTGTAGATACTGACATTGCAAAATCATGCTCTGTGAGGGTCTGATAGTCCCATGGTGTGTGAGACTGAGATCTTGCAGCAGTCTCTGCCATATCCTTGCTTGACAGCAGAGGAGCTTTGTGGGGCTCAAGCTGACCTTTTATAAAAAAGAAAAACTCTGCAAAAGTCACTGTCTTCCACAACATCTCTTCCCAATGCGAGCTGATGCTGTGCTGACCCCAGGATGTGGACATGGCAGGGAGGCCTGGGGAAACTGTGTCCTCCATGGGGCTCTGCTGAGCATAGTCATGCCACAGGACTGCCTGCAGGTGCAGAATGGAGCCCTGGCCCTCTGCACCCCAACTCTCAGAGGTGTGGGATCATCTTCACCACCTACAATGGGAAGGAATGGGACACATCCAAAACATCTCCCATGTCAGCCCAAAATCAGGGCCCCTGGAGGGATGGTGGGGCTGTGGCAGCCTGTCTGGGACTGAACCTGTTCTGAGGACAGCCCCCATGTTCCTCTGTTGCCTTTCACAAAAGAACTATAGAGACCATTTTCCACTCTTGACCTGCTGTTTTTGAATGGCTATTGCAGCAGCCCCTGAGATGAATCCCACTGAGGAGCCAGAGATAGAGGAAGGCAACCCCTCAGACCACATCAAGGCCATGCTCCTGGGCATCCTGCTTCTGGCCGGGGTGATTCTGCTGCTGATCTTTGGCTACCTCACCATCACATACAGGAGAGGAGGTACGATCCCCCTGGGGGCCATGCAAACCCAGCCCGGGACTAGGGATCAGCCAGATGTCTGCAGCTGCTTGGGGTGCATGGGCTGGTTCAACGTGCTAAACTCTGCTGTGACATATCCTTATGGGACAGATATCTCCATGCCTGGGGGAGATGGGGGCTTTGAGCCCTGCTTGCCCATTGTAGAGCCCCCAGACCACATGCAGTGGATCTACACCACTCCTTGGTGTGGTGCCTTAATGCTGCACATGAAGCCCTCCCATGCCCCTTGCCCAGGCACCTTTGGAGCATCTCATTATCACCCTGCTGCAGCACAGGGCATCACCTCAGCCACTCTGCAGGCACCCCAGGGGCTCTCACAGGGGGCTCCCCTGCATTCCATTAATTCAAATTAAACTCTAGACTGTGGGCTGGTGTCTCACTTGTCCTTGTAATGCTCAGGGTGTTAGATCATGAGTAGAGAAAGAGTGTGGTGAAATGAGTCCAGCGCTCTCTAAGGCAGGGGAGCTGGGTCAGCTCATGCTGTTGTGGTAAACAAGTCTCTTCTAACCAAGTGTGTTACTTTGCAGATGTGCAGAAACCATCAAGTGAAAACATGCCAGCGGTGAGTTTTCCGCCTCTGTCTCCCTGCCGTGCTGCAGGGGAGCATTGTGGCATTGCTGGGGTGAGCAGGGTGGAGCGCATCCCTTTATCAGCCCTTCACAACCATCTTACTTCTGCTGTCTTCTCTGCTGCTGCTTGATCTTTTCTGCACAGCTACAACTGTTTTTCTGCACCTGCAGCAGAACAGTCCCATCACAAAATCAAAAAAAACGCCCCAGAGAGGATGGGACTCTCTAGTCCAACCCTTTATCAAAGCAGGGCTATCTTTGACAGTGGATTGCATTGCTGTAAAAAATGGGAGAATGTTTCCCCCCCAATATATTAAGCTAAAATTTATTTTGCTACATTTGGTGCCTGGTTTCTTCTCCCTTTTGCCAAGCACCTCCAGGAGGGATCTGTCTCCATCTTCCCTCCTACCCCATTAATTTGGTAGCTGAAGGCAAGGAGTAGGTTCCCCTGCTCTCTCTCTTCTCTGGGCTGAGCAAACCCAGCCCCAGGCTCTTTTTGTGCACACTGTGCCATCTTCAAGCCCAATGGAGAGGTAGGAAAAAGGCTTCTAGCACATCCCTGCCTTCCACTGCAGGACAGGGAGAGAACTCAGCCTGCCTGCAGAGGCAGAGAACTGAGACACACATGGCTTTGCAGTGAACTGAAGGCTCAAGATCTGGTTCCTCTGGGCACATGCTATCCCAGGTCTGTGCATCTTTCTGCTTTGTATCTCTCTCACCCTCCTGGGATACCTCAAACCTGATTCTGGCACTTGCTGTAAAAAAGGGGGCTTGTGCTGGTGATGGCAGGTACCTCTGGATGTTGAATCACCACAATGGGATTTCCTTGCAGAAGGAAGAGAAGCCCCCTGTGGTGTCCGTATCCACTGTGGACTATGGTGTGCTGGAGTTTCAGAGGGATCAGTGCACCCAGGTGCCCCCCAAGACCCAGCCAGCTGACCAGACAGAATATGCCACTATCATCTTCCCAGAGGAGAAACCCGTCACGCCGGAGCGGGGCAAGAAACGTCAGGATGAGAGGACTCGACATCTGTGCTCACAGCCCTGCTGAGGATCAGGGTCCCTCCTCACCAGGGTGTGGGCATGAACATGCTGCCCCGGTCCCTTGCTCCCACTGCAGTTTGCAGTTGGGAAAAATCCAGCATACCAGGACTGAAACAACAGAGACACTGCTGCTGGAGTTGATATCAGACAGTCCTGGCCATGGTGTTATCGTGGCCATGGGGTGGGTACCACAGGATAAGGAAAGTCCCTGCTGGGCTCCATGTGCTGCCTCTTCACTCAAGGCAGGGAGGATGGGCTGGGACAAAGCAGTGACATCAACAGGTCTATCCCAAAGGCGATTTACGTCATGCCTCAGTTTTCTACCTCTACCCAGGGCTCTGTGGAGTGGCCCTGCTGCTTCCCTTCCCCAGGTCTGACCCAACTAGGAAAGCACGACTGTTGGAGGAAATGCTGGAGGCCAGAGCTGGAGTGGTTCCTGTGAGATGCTGCTCATGGAAACCCAGGGCTGAGGGCTTCTGTTTGCTCAGAGCAGAGGCTGTGTAGTGGTTTGAACCTTGTCTTCCCCAGAAGCTAAGAGAAGTGGTAGACCCCAAGGGGTGGAAACCCCTGGAAGTTTTGAAGTTCTGCCCAATGGGCGCTCCTGCAGAAGTGTAAACATACCACAACCAGACCGGAAAAGAAGAGTTGTAGTTTGGTTGTTGTGGAGGAGGTGGCCATGTTGTAGAGCCACGAGGTAGGGGCTCTGAGCCCCTTGGGGCCTCTGGCCCCCTCCCAGCCCCTGGCTGGGGGGCTGCAGGGACCTGGAACAGCATAAAGCTGGGCTAGGTGCCTGTAGTTATGCCAGGAGATGTTTTCTCCACGGGTGCAGAGCAGCAGCCGGGACTGACCAGAGAAACGGTGGCAGAGAGCCAGAGATAAGGACCTGAACTGGAGGAGCAGCAGAAGCAACATGCAGCACCAGAGGAGACTCCTGGAAGGAGAGCCGAGGAAAGGAGAGCCAGCAGCCTGAGAGCTACAGAGTTCTTGGGGGTAAGACCGTACCACACTCCCCCAAAACTCCCTTGAGACCCCTCTTGGAGAAGAGGGACATGGACTCCTATTTTAGAGAGCAGTTTTGGACATGCAGCACCGGAGAGAGAGAGAAGCTGAGAAGCTCAGAGCGTCCCGGAGCTGGACCGGGACGGCCAGATGGAATGCAGGGGGAGTTGACCTTGGCTCTCCCCCCTTGCACTGCTGCCACGGTGGCAGCCTGAGAGACAGGGCACAGAGGCCCTGCAAGAGATACCAGACCGTCACGAAGACTCCCCTGTGTCTTCGTGATATGACGTGGTGAAACGACCTTGTCTGGGGTTACGAAGCCCACAGAAGACCCCTCGGTTGTGAGGCGATGGGGCCGGGGGAGAGGCTTGGATACCTCCCTCATGGAGTGCTGGCAGAAAGCCAGCTATCAGCTGCTGCATGCGTGAGATGAGGAGAAACCTGCTGCATTAGAAGATCCTGCTGCTTAAGGACTGGAAGGGATCTGTCCTTCTTTCCCTCCTGGACTTTTATTTGGAGGGAAGAAGAGATCTGATCCATTGTAAATACTATATGTCATGGTAGAGATAGTTTGTGATCATGTGTATAATGTGATATGGTATTTATTTGTACAGTCATTGTAATATATTCCCTTTTCCCCACTTTGAGTCTGGTGTGTTTTGTCTGGAAAAACCCATCTCACATTAGGTTGAGATGTGGGAGGGGGAATGGAGCTAGGGAATTGGATTTTGGGACTATCTCAAACCATGACAGGCTGCCTTGTGTTCTGCTATTTAAAGAAACCCCTGGGAAGTGGGCAGTTTTCCTTCTTTCTCCAGGCACTTTCCTTCTCTCCAAGAGGGGAGATCTACCCCTATGTCCTTCTGACCACAGGTGGGAGTCGAATCTGGCCATGGGGGTGAATAAAGGATTTTGCGTGCGGGGTGTTTGTTCACTTGTCGTGGCAAGTGCGTGGGCAGGCAAATAACGGCTCTTGCGGTGCAGGCAAGTGCAGTGCAGTGCTGGGAGGTGGTGGCATCTGTTGTGGTTCCTGGGTCTCTCTGTGAGGTATGCAAGCTGCTCTTCCACAAAGCTGCTCTTAATAATTTAAGAGGCTGATGCTCTTTTTCCTCCTGCCCCTGTCTGAGCTGGTCACTCAGGTGCAGCTGCAAACCCAGACACCCCCATTACCAGACTGACCCCGGGGCACTCACTCAGCCCGTGGGGATGTGCATGCTTGCTGTGCCAAGGGTCTGGCTGCCATCAGCCAGGGCACAGCTCACAGCATGGTGCTCAGTGTAGCTTTCTGGCTCCGAACTTCCACTTTCCCTCTTGAAAGAGGTGCCAAGGCTGTGGTGCCTGCCAGAAACCAGAGCGGAAAGAAATGACAGCTGCTCAAGAAGGGAGAAACCCCAGTAAGGAGTGGCTTTGAAGGCAGCAGAGACCTACTAGGAGACTGTGAAAACCAGTGAAAACAGAGAAGAATCACTTGCATCTCACACTTCAGCAGCACCGTTAGCAGGTTTCTTCTTCACTTACTTCCAGTAAGCCTTGTGGGACCCAGCCTGGGTGCTGGGGGAAGGGGTGAGGCAAGCCAGGCATCACATCTTGTCCTCTGTGGGGACTGGAAAGTCCACGAGAAACTTCCAGAGGGGACCAGATGGAATAAACATCCATTTGGGTTGTCTTTCAGCTTCCTTCAGGGTGGGAGAGTGGATATGGTGGCCTTCCTTTGTCCCTGGTGCTGCTGAAGGCTTCCAGTAGCCTCCATGGGCAGTGCTGTAACTCCCAAGACATTGACTCAGGCCAATGCGTGGTTCAGCCCATCAGGACGTTTTGCCAGCAGCAGCCCTGCTCCTTTGCCCCAGCGGCTCTGTCAGAGATCTGCTGTGGCCGGCAGGGCCCGGAAAACCAAGGCAGGAGGCAGCCACAGTGGGCGAGAAGCGGGAGCTCAGTCAGCAGTTTTGGTTTTGGCTTTCCTGTCAGACACAACACCGGTGAGAGGGTAGGCCAGTGGGCCCTGCTTCATATTTTCCAATCTGCCTCTCAGGCAGCAGAGGTGCCGGATCTTGAGCCCTTCCCGCACCCCCTGGCGGCAGCTATGACTCCTCCAGGAGCAGTTGGGGCTGAGTCCCTTCCTCTCTTGGTGGATTGTGGTCTGCAGCTGCCTGGAGGCTCTCAAGCTCTCTGGTGGGGTTGAAGGTGTAGCAAAAGCATCTCCCTCTGACCTTTGGGATGGGAGAATATCCAGCCTGTGTCAGTGCCTGGGCCCCTCCAATCCCCATCAGCCTTGCTGCAATCCTGCCCCTTGCAGGGAGAAAGGCTGGGCTCTGGGGATGTTTGGGGTGGGGATGCTCCAGGTTGCCAGACACCATCTCCCATCCCTGTTTGGAGCACGGGGTGCCCAGCACTGGCAGAGACATAAGCTATACTCCCCTGCACTGGGCACGGCACTGACTGTGCTAGCCAGAGCAGGAATAGGGTTGTGATGAGCTCCAGGTGGGATGCAGGTTTCAAGCCCCCAACTGGGCATCTCTAAACCAAGCAGTGCCTTCAGATGGGTGTCAGGCTCCACACCCCAGCATCCTGGGAATGGGGAGTTGAGTGTGTTTGTGTGCAGGAGCTGTTCTTTTGTCTTTCTGTGCAAGCCAGGAGAGCCGACGTGCAGTTTTGACTCTCCCTCCAGCCTGGTGATGGTAGTTTGGTCTTCCCGGAGTCACTGTGCAGGATCTGGAAGAAGCTGTTTTACCTCCTGTCCTGAGAAGTTCCCAGTTCTGGCTTTCCCGACTCCACCATCCTACATCCCTCCTATCATCCTATCATCCCTCCCATACCTCCCTATCACAGCCCTCCTGGTTTTGCCCACCGCTGCACCCATATCAGTCGGCTGCCGGCTATTTGCACTAACTGGCAGGTTTATGCCCCTTTTTTCCACTCCAAATTAAGGAAAGACTCAAGTAAACTCATTTCCACCTAGGATGCAAAGGTTTGTGTCAGTTTTTTTGAGGGGGCTGAGTTGACACTGTCAAGTCCTTTGGCTTTCCCTGCCCACATCAAGAAGAGACTGGACTGTGATGGGCCTGGTGTGGTTTTGGGGACATCCTTTCTGCCGCAGCTGTTTTATTGGCTCTGAAGGGCTGTGGGTGGCAGGGTTTCAGTAGTCATTGCTTTAGGCTGTGAAGGGGAGGTTTGCTGAAGAGTGTTTAGGCAGACCTGACCACCTGGCTCTGGATTTTGACCTTGTTCCCTGCAGCGTCACAGCCACTGGGACTAAGCCCTTCACCTTAGAGTCACTGGCCACCGACAGAGTAAGAACAGGGCTCAAGACTGGTCCTCCATCCCATTTTGAGTAAATGGTGGCTTACATCAGTGCAAGAGGGAAAAGAACAAGGCCCTGAAAAATTAAATAGCACCTGGACCTGACTCTGTGTTCTCAGATGTGTCATCACTGGGAATAACCCCTGCAATGCCAGAGGAGATAGGGTGTAGCTTTGGGTCTGCCCACCTCATTCCCCTTGGCATAGTGATGTAAGCTATGGAGAATGCTCCCAACAACTTCCTCCCCGTTGCACAAAGCTCACAAGTGCACAGCAGCCAAACCGGGGTTGGGGGGTGAAGGGGGTGCATGTCCAGTTTTTTCCACTCTCTATCTCCCCAGAGCAAGCATCCCCAGCCTGGCCATGCACACTCATGTGCAAGCACACACGAATGCTCGTGAACACACAGACGTGCAAGCAATTCCCCATGCAAATTTGTGTGTACACCCCCAGATTTGCACAGTTATTCTTACCAAATACACCCACCACCCTGCAGACACGTATCCCCCCAGCCCCTCCATCCATGTGCCAGGGCTTCTCCCATACTGGGACCTGGGTGGAACCAGGGGGGTGGCTGTGGGTGCTGAAGCTGCTGCATTTCCTGCACACTCTGGTCTGGCAGTTACAGCAACCGCTTCTGACCGCAGACACCCGGCACTCCCCCGAGGAGTGGCTGTCACTGATGTCAGTGTCAAAATGCTTTGTCAGCTCC